TAAGTATTCTAAACAAGGCAAAAAATATAACACTCATGTGGATAGCTAATCATTCTTCTTAAACATTTTATGTGGGCTCACAGGACAGGACAGGTTACCCAGGAAGGGAATGAAAAGATCTAGTCTCTATTCTCAGTTGTGTTAGAATCGTATAATATTGGCATTATGGGAGAATAATATATTTTTTATTTATTCCACAGACTGCTAGAATCAAATGCCATAACATCTATAAACACATTGGTAACTATTCCTTCTAGTTATTATTATTATTGCTATTTGATATATCAGCTTTTTTTTTCATGCACATATGAAGGACATGTTTAGTAGGACATGTTTAGTAGCAAATATATCAAGTCTTCTGATTCCTTTACTCTATTTGGATAACTCAGCTCTAAATACCATCACTAAGTGAATATCTCTACCATTTGCATTGCCTAGAGATTGAGACTAAAGCAATTAAGAAAGAAGATGTAATTTATACATTTAGAGTTGATAAATAAGTCATGAGTACATAAATTCAAATTATTTTAATAAAAAAGATAATAACATTTGATACTTATTAACTGCTATTTGTTATTTATAGTTTTAAAAATATTTTTGTTATCTATAGTTTTTAAAATATATTTTCTCTCCCATCCATAGTTTCAGATTTTGCTTTTCAGTATCTCTCTTTGGCTTATTATGAAAAATTTGGCTTATTATAAAAAAATTTGCAATTGATAGGTCAATTTAGTGGAGAAATACAATAAAAAAGTTTGCTTGCAAGACAAGCAAATCTTGATTGTAACTCTTAGGTTTCCCCTAGTAAACATTCCAAAATAATCCTTTGTTTAGATTCTTGTTTGTTTTTACTCTGTTGGCTAGATAATATTCTAAAATCTTAAACAGACATTGATGTACACTTTTTATAAGACAGCTGCTCTTGGTAAGTAAATATGCAAATTTAGATATAAAATGTATCAGAAAATATGAACATATTAACTTGATATTTACCCAATCATAAAAAAAATAAGTTCCTAAACTCACTAACGCATCCATTCCTCATTTGTCATCTGATATTGCCCTTAGTCACTCATTACTGATATTTCTTTGTTTTATCTCGGACTGCTTCTATCAACTTATTTAAAGATTTGTGCAAAGCAAATGTACCTTAGGTTGTAATCAACTTTCTACAAAAGCAGCCACAACTCTGGCTGCGACACCTCGCAGGAGAGCCCATTTTGCCTTGGGAAGAAACATTGCCAGTTGGTGGCAGCATTCACAAGAGCCGGTCACATTTCCTCTGTTATCTTTAGGTTGGATTTCAAAACAACTCTAGAAAACAGACTCAAAGGCAAGCCTAGAAACAGCACGTGAACAACTGCAGAAAAGTGGAAGGTTTCTGACTCCAATCCAGTTCCACAAAACACTAGAGCATCTGGAGAAAAGCGGGATGGCTCGTGTCCTATTCAGCTCCTGAGCAGTTTACAAAAACAGGGTGAAAGCCTGCTCTAGAACAAACAGTGGGATCAATGACCACGGGCTGATCTTTCCCCTTCCAACATGTGCGCTCTGTTCAAGGACACTCCCAGCCATCCTCACTGCTCATTCACCTCCCTCTCCCAGAAATATAGCTGTGTCATTTTAAAGACTTTTTTTTTATGTCATCTGCTCCTGATCTAGATTGAGAAGCAGACAATTTTGTTTTGCTGTGACAGAAAAAAGGAAAAAAACAAACAAACTCACAAACAATGTTTTAACCCAGCAGCCAGAACATTAACAGCAAGCACTACACGGGCATCGATTCAGTCCCGCAGACCCTGAGGACACTGTGTCACAGGGCCAAGCAGCCCACGGAGTAGGGATGTCCGAAGGAGGAACACTTGTGTTTTTATGATTCAGCAATGTTATACAGTCATTAGTGTAACATTTTTATTCCAATCATGGAAAGTCTTTTGGGAAGTCTTTTTTTTTAAATCTAGAAATACATTCTCAAAATTCAAACACAACGAAATCCAAAGGTGAATTAATAAGAATTTTAAGTTACTAACTGCAGTTACTTTTTAATTGGTTGTTTACGTGTTTATATTTCTTCAACATAATTATATTTAAAATGAAAATGTTTTGAATGTTGGGTAGCTGTACTTGTGCCTACTACATAAATGAGTATTTTTTCTAAACAGTATTAATTCAATTCATATACTTTTCAGAACAATTCTTATTTTAAAAGTTACAGGTTTGCTCTAGCATGTATGCATATGAAATATCATTTATTTTAGAAAATCCCTCCACATTGAAAGAGACTATTTAAAAAACATCAGTGTTTTTAACGAGCAAAATAAATACTGAAGTGGAAAGCTTTTAAAACTTCCAAGGAACCGATACAATCTATTAACAAATCCTGATTCTTTAAACATTTGCAGTGCTATACATCAATAGTGAATGATCTAAACAGCAGTTACATTCTCTCATGTAAATCATTCTGTTGCACAAAATTAGCATGTTACAAAATTCTTGTGAAATTTCAGTTGAAACGTATTAGCAAATATATTTGTGAAAAAAAAAAACTAGCTGCTAAAGTGCAGGAAGTCCCTTTATGAATCCTAGATGAGGAAAAGTCTGTCTGCAAGTTTCATTCATCAGAGAAAGGGAAATTTATTAAATGAGCCACTGAAATACATTATTTAATAAAGCGAAATGTGATGAAATGTTGCCACTCTTTTTAAAGACTAAATATATCCTCTGACATAAACCTGTGAAGTTAAAATCTCTACCTCCTAAAATACATTTTAAAGTAAAGCTATTCTAACTGGTCATATAGTATTTCACTTAACAATCGCTTCGTCAGTTTTTAGATTGAGCTTATCTGGATAGAAAATAACGTCAAACAGCTATAGGGTTAACAATTAACAAGGCAAAATACCTCACAAGTACTGAAATGTTATCTACTTTTCTCCTCCTATACATGCCTTTCTCATATGAAACAGAGAAGATAAGGAACGGTGCTAACTATTCTTATTAGTAGGAGTAGTACTTGTATTATAGATTTGTGATACATTTTTAATGTTGACATTTTTATGAAAATGACTACCTTATGAAAGGTAATGAAATTATTCCAGAAAGGTCTTTTAGTTTTAATAAAAGAATCATTGCATACAATTCTATGTAAAAAAACAAACAAACCAAACCAAACAAACAAAAAACACTCTTTGCTAAAAGAGATGGCCATTTTATCATCCATGAAAGGAAAGAGAACGTCCAACAAAAGATCTTGGACCATGAGAAAAAATTTCTTCCAGGCTGCTTACTGGCAACAGGCCATGCATGAAGCACCCGGCCCTGCGTGGAGAGCAGGTTGGCAGATGTTTATTAGCTGACTTTTGCTGAACAAGTATGGGAGAACAGTTGGAAAATCACAAGGTGTCAAACAAGCTTTAAATAAATAAATAGCTTATTTGGCAATAGAAAGGGAGAAAGACAACGAGTTCCTGCATTGAGGAAGAAGACTGGGATACTTCTATTTACAGAGTTCCTTACTGCTAGCTTCATGGACCGACTTCTTAATGAGAATGGAAATCGTACTCCCACACTTGTGTTTAGAGGTTCTAGGACTGCAGAATGACAATTAGTTTGCAGTTTTGCTGTAGGAGATTTGTGATCTGTATGGTATGAGAACACCACTGATGTAGGTGATAGTTCTTCACACTTCCCTCTCCTGCCTCTAAGCTGGTGACTGAGGCAGCGCAGGGGGAAAGTGCCAACTGCCAACTTAGAACTTCTGACACCTTAACTTGAATCCTGGCATTTAGCACTAGAACAGCCCCCACGGGAAAAACAAACAAACCAAAGATGACACTGGTTAACATCTGAGGGGCACAGCAAGTAAATACTCAATGAATATATGAAAATTTAATTTTGTATGAAAAGCCAAAATCCAAAAGAAAAGAATGAAACAATTAGAAAAGATAATTTCTCAGAAGAAATCCCTATGGCATGATGTTGAAAAGAGGTTGCTCCATGATCATCATCTACTAGTTAGAGTTACTGAACTTACAGGCATGCCCAACACAAACACAATCATATACACATACACACACTTAAAAACACATTCCTAGAGGTATTTTTTAAAGTATGGTTTAAAATGGAGGATCGCCTTTAAATATACCTCTTTCAGGCAAATTCTATTATGATATTTGCCTCACTGGTTATTCTTCCCAAATTTATGCTACTCATCAATAATCGTTAACTGTATGCATGATAAAAAATAAAAACGCTATGATCTTTGGGTAAGTAGGGATCTCTTGGCACATAATATTTACTAGCAGAATCTTTAAGGCACATTCTTACAAATATGTTACAATATATATCACCCTTTAAAAATTATAATTTTGTTATTTTCCTTAAATTTAAGATTTCATTACATTTAAAACAAAGACTTTGATATACTATAGAGGACATTCAAAGGCAAACTTCCAGGACTTACTAAAAAATAACCAACATTATTGTTTCTAATTATTTCATAAGGATACAAAAATTAAAACAAACAAACAAAAAGACCAGGGCTTGTTTTGCTAGCCTTCTTAGTTTCTGCAGGACCCGGAGCCTGCTCCGATCTGAACTCGGGGACTCCCGCCCTCACCAGGTGCCCTCACTTTGTCATTTAGGAGATGCGACTGTATGGGTCCTTATTTGTAATCGACTTTGGAAGTCACAAAAGCCGTGCAGATGAAAAATTGGAAGCACTTCGTCAAGGGCATCTTCCACGCGGCAGTCGCTGCCTGGGAAGGGCGCGCAGGTCTGGAGGCGTCCGCCTCCCGCACCTCTGTGCGCCGTGCAGAGGATCTGGTGGGAGGAGGACACCCCGCCGCGGGGACCCCGCTCCAGGGGCTGTTTTCTCGCTGGAGCCCGCCCTCTTCCCGGCACTATGGAAACTGCATTTTTCTACGCCTGCTCGTCCTCCTCCTCCTTCTCCTATTACATCCCAAACAGACATTTCAACTTCCTGAGAACCTGACGAGTGAATGGCGCTGATGACGCCCCGGAAAAGAGCCCACGACCCGGCAGCGGGGGAAGGGCGCCCCCGAGCGGGTGGGACCCCGGGAACCACCCTCGGCCAGCGAGGCCCGGGGCCGGGGGCGCCGCGCACGCGCCCCTCCTGCACCCCGGTTCTTCTTCCAGGAAGGGGCGCGAAGCGGCTATCGATCCAGACCTCACCGGTGACTAATGTGATGCTCGTAAACAAGCCTAGGGCCGGGCACCCGGGAACCACCCAGGCGCAAACCTGCCGCAGGGACCGGGTGCGCGCCCACCCCGAGTTTGGGCGCCCGATCGGCTCGCCTAAGTGTGTGTGTTCGGGGGAGGGGTTTACGAGAGGGCAGCCAAGTTCATTGCCCTTCTTGCCCGCCGCGAGTGGGGCGGCGGCGGGGTGATGCGAGGCCCGAGGCGGGTGCTGCCGCCCCCTTCCCTGCGCCCACCCTGGGCGGGCGGCCTAGGCCCTTGATCTCCGCCGGACCCCGCCCCCTGCAGTGTCCCCTCTCCCGGACCCCTCCCCGGCGGAAGCGCCGAGCCCAATTAATTGAGTGAAAGGCGGGAGGGAAGAGCCCTCTGGACGGCGGCCGGCCCCCGCCCCTCCCGCGCGCCCCTTTTCCCGCCCTGGGTGGCATCTCCTCCGCCGGCATCCACAACGAGCCTCTGATTAATGAGGCTCCGGCCGGCCCCCACCCCGCCCGAGCCCGGGCCTC